GAGCTGGCTCTTGGCACCGTGGGGTTTTAAAGTCATGAAACAAAGAGAAAAAGGGTGATGTACCCTTTTTTTTGTACCAAAAGGATGACCTCAACATTCAGCCCTGTGCAATGGGCACAACAAGCTCGGCGTACAAAGGAAATCCCCGTAGGTCCTTGAAAGAAGGAGGAAACAAAGGCACGAGCTCAATAATTTTGGGGGGAATGTCAAGGGATTTGAACACAACCATGCACCCAATGCGTTACTTTCATGACCCCAAAATTGCGAAGACTTCCTCTGCAGCACGATGCTCGAATGATTTGGAGTTTTGTAGCTGCTTTGGCTAAAGGAAGAGAAAAGGAAGGATTTTGAAGTGTATTTTTTTTTCCTTCTTCTATACCCTTTTCTACATATTGTGTGTGGAAAAGGAGTTTTTCCATGGAAAAAAAAAAAAAAAAAAGGATTTTTTTCCATGGCAAGAAGGCCACTTTAGCAGTTCAGCAGCACACAGCTCCGGAGCGTGTTCCTGTTCCCCTTTTAGGGTCACAGAAAATCCCAAAGGAGCCAAAATTGACCTAAACCAACCCTTCGAGCCCCCCTTCTTGGACCGGACGAGCCTCACCCGATGCCACATGAGTAAAGATGCTTAGCCCTACTTACGCCTATTATTTTAATTTTTTCATAAATCTATTTTTTCACCAGCTGAAAAAAAAAAATAATCCACATGATTAACTGGCAATTAACAAGTAATTCCAATCACCGGGAAGAAAAAAAAACAAAAAAGGAAAAAAAAAAAACAGGTTGTAATTAACGTCTCATTCCATAACTGCAAAGAAAAACCCTTGTAATTAACAGGCAATTAACGGGTAATTCAATCACTGAGGAAACTTGTAATTAGCAGGCGATTCACGGGTATTCCCCATCAGTGAAAACAAAGTTGTAATTAACACGCAGTTAAAGGGGAATCCTCGTCTGCTAAAAGAATAATTAACGGGTAACTAACGGTAATCCCGACTAATCCCCACCACCAAAACAAAAACCACCCAAACAAACAAAACCAAAAAAAAACAAATAAAATAAAATAAAATAAAATAAAATAAAATAAAATAAAATAAAATAAAATAAAATAAAATAAAATAAAATAAAATAAAATAAAATAAAATAAAATAAAATAAAAAAGGCGTGGAGTTAAAGGCCAATTAACAGTCTGGAAAAACCTTATAATTAAAGGCCAATTAATGGGAAAACCCTATTAGTGGGAATGGTGTATTAGTGTATAGATATGTAAAAGTGGGTATATATATGATATTAGTGGGAATATATATATTATATTAGTGGGAAAAAATATATAAATACATTAGGGGAATATACATATACGTATTTAACGTGCCGTTAAGGGGGAGCCTGTTTACCAGGAAAAATAAATAGATATTGTAATTAACTGGGAAGGCCGTTTGCCGGGAAAAATAAATAAATAAAAAGAATAATTAAGGGGGAATCACGTTTACGGGGAATAAAGTAAAATAAAGTAAAATAAAGTAAAATAAAGTAAAATAAAGTAAATAAAGTAAAATAAAGTAAAATAAAGTAAAGTAAATAAAGTAAAGTAAAATAAATAAAGTAAAATAAAGTAAAATAAATAAATAAAGTAAAATAAAGTAAAATAAAATAAAGTAAAATAAAGTAAATAAAGTAAAGTAAAGTAAAATAAAGTAAATAAAGTAAAATAAAATAAAGTAAAATAAAATAAAATAAATAAAATAAAATAAAATAAAATAAAATAAAATAAAATAAAATAAAATAAAGTAAAGTAAAGTAAAGTAAAGTAAAATAAAGTAAAATAAATAAAATAAAGTAAATTATAAAATAAAGTAAAATAAAGTAAAATAAAGTAAGTAAAGTAAAGTAAAGTAAAGTAAAGTAAAATAAAGTAAAGTAAAGTAAAATAAAGTAAATAAAATAAAATAAAATAAGTAAAATAAATAAATAAAATAAATAAAATAAATAAAATAAAATAAAATAAAATAAAATAAAATAAAATAAAATAAAATAAAATAAATAAAATAAATAAAGCCCCCTTACAATTAAGGGCAATCCCATTCCCGAAAAAAAAAAAAAAAAAAAAAAAAAAAAAAAGGTTAAAAAAAAAGGGGGGGGTTAAAAAAAAAGGGGGGGTAAAAAAAAAAAAAAAAAAAAAAAAAAAAAAAGAAAAAAAAAACTTGCACTTTTGGGGCAATTCAGCCGGAATTCGGATCCCGGGGTCGCGCCGCGCCGCGTCCCCGCCTCCCGGTGCCGCCCCCCCGGTGCCGCCGCTGCGCGGAGCCGGAGCCGGAGCCGGAGCCGGGGCGGAGCGGAACCGGAGCCGGGGCGGAGCGGAGCGGGCGCGGCCCCTGCGGCAGCGGCGGGGGCCGGCTCCGCCGGTGCGGGAGCCTCCGCGGGGAGCGGAGCCGCGACCATGGGCGGCGGGGGAGCGGCGGGCGCGGCGCGGGGGGCGCCCCCGCGCTAGGCTCGGCCCCGGGGAGAGGTGAGCGGGGATGAAGATGAGGAGGACGAGGAGGAAAAAAGGGGGTCCAGGGGGTGGGGGTCGCTACCGGGGGGGGATGCTCCGGTTTGGCAGCGGTGCCGCCGCCTTTGTGCTCCCGCTTCGGAGCGCTCAGCACCGGGGAAAATCAGGATGGGGATGGAGGTGGAGGGGGCTCGGAGGTTTTTTAATTTTTTTTTTTTATTATTTTATTTTTTTTCCTTTCTTTTTTTTTTTTTTCCTCCTTTTTCGCCCCACTAGTTGTTGATAAATTGCAGTGTCATTGCCGGCTCTGCCTGCCCTGTCTCCGCCGAGGGAGGTGGGATCCACCCTGCCCATTGCAGGCGCACGCCGAGCCCCGCGATGCAGCTTTTTTGCAGAGAGGAGGGGAAAAAAAAAAAAAAAGAGAGAGAGAAAAAAAAAAATGTCTGGCTTGGAGTCGTGAGGATGATGGCTACTGAGCCTTTCCAGTGCTTTTTTTGGGGATTTTTTTCCCTTTCATCACTCCTGGGTGGCATTGCACACCTGCTTGGTTTGCAGTCCTCTTTTTATTTTTTTATTTTTTTATTTTTTTTTTTAGGATCTTGAGTGCTGCGTGCCCTTTCTGCAAGCAATATTCGGCTGTGCAGCCAGGGGACGGGGCGGTGCGGAGGGGTGTGAGAGAGGCCCCTGCCAGCTCGAGGTCACATCCAAGGGGCACGACCTTCCGGGCTTGTTCTCTCTCCGAAAAGGGGCGAAGGATGCTCTGGGTACCCAAGGATGCTCTGGGTACCAAAGGATGCTCTGGGTACCAAAGGATGCCCTGGGTTACCAAAGGATGCTCTGGGTACCAAAGGATGCTCTGGGTACCCAAGGATGCTCTGGGTACCAAAGGATGCTCTGGGTACCAAAGGATGCTCTGGGTACCAAAGGATGCTTTGGGTACCCAAGGATGCTCTGGGTACCGAAGCATTTTTATAGGGGGTGCTTGTGCTGTCATTGAGCCCCATAAGGTGATTCTCTGCAGAAAATAGAGGAGAAAAAAAAAAAAAAAAAGACTGCATTGATTGTGGAGCTGGCCTGAGTTTTTTCATCCTCACCCACCTGGCGAGCAGAGCAGGGCAGGAGCTGGGAGGTGCTGGGCCACGTTACCCCGAAAATTAGGGTGGAAGCAGGGTTTTGGTCTAGCAGGGGAAGGCTTGGCTCTGAAGGAGCCCCCAAACCACCTGCAGTCCTTGCCTGCCGTCTGCATTTCGCAGCTGGATGTGTGTCAGTGCAAACTCTTCCTGTGAAGCACGCAGGGCGCTTAATCTATTTATAAACCTAAAAAATACCTTTCACAGCCTATTAAAGAAAAAAAAAAATCAGCAGCGAGGATTGGTTGTACTTAATGCTCAATTTTTTAACGTGCCTGGATGACCATAATTCACAAGCGACCGACTGTTATTATTTTTTTTCCCCACCTTCTCCTAATTTTGGGGGAAATTACATGTTCTTAACCTCCCGTGTGATTTTTTTCCAAGTTGGTAACCCGGGAGACTCGCCGATCGCCGGCGTTGCTGCAGGCAGTTGCAGCATTTTCTCTCTCCATGCTGAGGCTTGGGGGGGGGGATTTTCCTCTGCCTCGCTCGCCGCGAGAGGGCCCGTGCCCGCGTCCTTCTGGCGATGTGCACGTGGGGAAATCTCATCCCCACCTGGGATTTGCACCAGTGCTCCCAGGGCTGGTGGCTCCACGCTATTTTTTTGGGGGTGTTTTTAGTGGTGGCGTTATGGGAGAGCGCTGAGAGTGGAGCGAGGAGCAATGGGAAAAAGCCCCGTGCTGTTAGAGTCGGTGTTGCCACTTAGCACGCGGGTTTTATTCTCACTCTGAATATTTCATGGGGTTGCAGCACGGGGAATTTTATTAGAAAAAGAGCTGTTGTTAAGTGGTCCGTGATCCTGATCCGTGGGATTTGCGCTCTGTGCTTTGATGCCCGATGCTCCCAAATCCCATTAAAGGGCCTGGGTGGCTGCGAGATTTTGGGTGCTGCCCTTTGGGTGCTGGAAATTTTGCGTGGCAGCTTGCTCGAAGGCTAAATGAGCACATTTACGGCCCGTGGTGTTGGCTCCTGGCGGGAGCAGCGTTTTCGGCTGCTGTTGGCACCGTCAGCGAAACTTTCTGCTCGGTTAAAGCAGCTCCCATCATTTCTGGTCGTGACATGAACGGGGCGGGATGCTCCTGAGAAATGTGCTCCTAAATGAGCATAAACCAAAAAAAAAATGTTGTTTGACATCTCACAGCCCTTCTCTTCATGATGGTTTTGGTTTCTCTCCTTAACACATGATTTTTGGGTGTCCAAAACCCAGAAGGACCTCTGCAGCTCCTAATTTGCTTGAAATAATTTGGTTTCTCTCCATAACATGTGCATTTTGGGTGTCCAAAAGCCAGAAGGACGTCCGCAGCTCCTAATTTTCTTGAAATTTTTTGGCAGGATAGAGTTTTACTTAGCCTGTCAATCCTTTCTGTGCCCCCCAGGTCGGGCCACGGAGAGGGGACGCTGGATGCTGAGACGAGGACGATGCGGGCGGCGCTCTGGACGGGCTCCCTGTCTGCTCCGGGTCTTTGCATGATGTAGGAGATGGATGGACAAAAGCTAAATGCTTCCTATTGCATCTGCAGGTACGAAAGAAGACTTTTAAATAATGATGGTTGTGGTTGATATTAAGGGGAACTTCATGGCGTGGACCAAGAGGTCTTTGATTTTTTGCTGCTTGAGCCCTACTTGGTTTTAGCTGGATTCCCCCCTGGTGCTCCTGCTGCTCAGTTTCCCTCTTCCCTTCCTTCACGTGTTGTCCCATAGAAAGAACAAAACCCCAAAATCTGCTTCTAGCAGATGCTTGCAAGACAAACCCCTCTCCCTGGGTGAAAGGGACACTCGCCCATCCCAAATTGGGATTTTTCTTGGTTGGGTGCCTAGGGCAGACAACATGACATCTAGCATTGAATTCATTTTGAAAAATGGGAAAAAAATATCATTATCATCTGCACGAAGGATTTTTTTCACTAATGTGGATTGAGCAAAGGGAGTTTTGTTGTGGTGGGAAATCCTGGATCCTCTATAAACCCAGAAGAGCCTGGCTGCTTTATTTTGTTATCCCCACGTCTCTGATCCCACACTTAGCCCCGGAGTGGCAGGAGCTCACCGTCGAGCAGAGTGCCTATGAAATATGTGCATATTCTTTTCTGGTCGGGAACAATCACACTTCCAGACAAATTTCGAGGATCACTGAGCCTCCGCTGAGCCCTGTCGTAGGCACTCAGCGCCAAGACCAAATAACTTCTTCTATCCCTGCTCCGTGTGCGTTGACTTTGCTCGTTCCGGGCTGAATTATTAATCTTCCCGTGGCTTTTCTGTGGCACCCAACCGGCTTCAGACGAGGCTTTATAATATAAAAGTGTGAAGTTTTTGTTAAATTCGACCAATTTTAGCAGCCGCTTGTTTTCTAGGTGCTTGCAAGCATACACTTTTTTGGAGAGCAAATATATCCCAAATAGCTTTTTAGTCATTCCCTTGTGTTTTCCCCATTGTCCTTTTTTTTGGCAAGCAAGCACTGGGCCAGGTGAGCAGGGAGCTTTAAGTGGGTGATATTTTGGTGAGGTGTGTGCAGTCTTGGATGAAATTTGGGCTCATTTCCGTGTTCTGGCATGGCTCTGAAGGTTATTCTACACCCCCTGGGCTGCTTCCATCCCCTCTGGGATCTCTGGTGGTGACCGGCCTATAGATGGATGCCCACAGAAATAAGGACTTGGGGGCACTTGGGGGCAGCACTTTGGCAACGAGAAATTCAGGATTGGGTCTTGTTTAATTCTTCCCTCCCTTAAATTTCTGGGCGAGGTGAGGAAATGCAATTTAGACGACAGCATCAGTGCCCCTGTGAGTTTGGTCCCCCTCTATCCGAAAATAACTATTTTATGGTACCTTTCTGTACGATTCCTGTTGTTGGAACCGTGGTGGCTCTCCTCAGTGCTGGGATCTCAGCGGTGTTGGAGCAAGTGGTGGTGCTCGCGTGCATCCCACGCTGGGTCCGTGCTGCTCCCGGGAGGCTGCAGATCCCGCTGCCCTCCACTTGCCTTTGAACCCCGGGAGCTGGGGCTGCGGGGAGGAGTGGAAGTGATGGGAGGTGGGAGGGAGGCAGACAAGCAGCGTGTAAAAAAAGCTCCCAAATTGCTCTGCTAAAAGAGTTAATAGCTCATGCCCACGTTGCTAGTGGTGTGGGTTTTTTTTTTTTTTTTTTTTTTTTTTTTTTTCCTTCGTGCATGTCTAACATGAGGCAGAATCGGCTCCGAGCTGGATCTGCTTTGCATTTCGGAGCTGTATTCGCCTGTCTGCTTTCTGGGACGAGTGCTGGGAGCCCTGGCTGTGATGGAAATAATGCGTATTGATTGGAAAACGTCTTCTGGAGGCTGGTTTTGCAAAGCCAGCATCTTGATTCCAAGCACAGGCGTGGTGGAGGAGCAGGAAACGAAACGCAGGGGTGCACCTCTCGGAATGAACCAAACAGGATTATTCCCGCAGGAATCCGCGTTTTGGGAAATATCCCAGCAAACCGGTGATGTGCCTATAAATTGCTGTATCTATACGTGCAGGATGGAGCTGGGTCGTGCTGGTTTTCGCCTTGGCAGAGGACCTTTTGTGGCTGTGATGAATTAGAAGTCTTTCTTTTCCCATCGCTGGCCTCCTTGGATTATTTTTGCCAGCTGACCTTTATGTTCAGAAAAGCTTTCTTGCTCATTTTTTTCTGCCTGGGAAAATGGTTCAGGCTTCACCTTTCGCTTCAGCTCCGATGGAAGCCGTAGAGGAGGATGGATTAGGGCTGGACCAGATGCCCTTTGCAGGTCCCATTCCGCCCAAAATTATTCTGCAGATTCATGGTATACAACAGCTGCCAAATGGCATTGGTTTGTTGTGTGTTTTTTTGTTTTTTTTTGGTGTGCTCTGCGCTAGGCTTTAGTATTTCTGCGTAATAATGAGCGAGGGGTGGCAGGGACAGATTTTGCAGTCTGTTTGTTTGTCTGGGCTGAATTTGAGCCAAGCCTGGACCAAGGAGGTCACGTCACTACACGGCCGCTGTGACACCGGCTGGGGCTGCGACTGCTCCAACCGCAGCTGGTGGCTCCTGCTCCGTGCCCTTTGCTTGGGTAACACGAGGAGAGGGAGCCCTTATTCCACCCCCTTTTTTTTTTTTTTTGGGCTTTTTTTTTTTTGGCTTTTTTTTTTTAGGCTGGTTGAATTAAGCCTCTCCCTTCCTGCTGCCTCCACTTGGCCTCCACCAGAGGCTGGAGGTGCGGAGCGGCTCCTCCTTTCCAGCTGGAACCAAGCACGGCTCCTGGCACGGGTCCCCCCGGGTGACGTCCTCGTGAATTCCGAAATAGCCTTGCTCCGAGCTGCCGTCTGTCCAGCTCAGCTGCTCGGAGGCTAAAACATTTCCCAAAAAAAAACCAAAACCCAACTTTTCAGGGCAAAAAGAGCTTGGGTTCCTGTCATGCCCAACGCACTTGAATCAGCAAGAGTGCTTCGAGTGCTGCTTCTTTCCCTGATGTTATTTTTTTTTATTAAATGAGAGTTCTCAGAGCATTGTTATTTCTATTTTTTTCCTTCTTTTAAACGCAAAAATTAAGCTGGTAGGATGGGCTTTGGTAGAGCTCCCATCAAATGCCTTCGTCCAGACCTCGACTCCTCCCATCGATCCCAAATATTCACCAAACCAGACCTGCAATTTAGGAGGAACTTGGCTTTTTATCGAATTTCTAGGCTGCTGCTAGGAGATTGAGTGCTGATATCGGTGCAAACCACTGAGATTTGGGGTTCTTCGCTGGATGTGAGGTGCCCATGAAATGGTTTTTAAACATACGGAGGACAAGTGGTTGGGTATGTCCTAGACAGACCAGGGGAATGTGGCCACATTGGCAATTTGGATGCTAATTGAGCCTCTCTTCATTGAAAAATGAAGCCAGATTATATAGCACTATCTGTTTTCACAGGTCTTCCTTCTCCCACTGTAATTAGAAGCCATTTCTGTCTGAAATTACAGACTCTTCAACCCACCTGCGAGTAGATCCCTTTCTCTGAACACCCCAGCATCACTCAACGCCATCAGCAACCCAGAGAAACCCTAGCAGGGGGCTGCTGCGTGGCAGGATTTTGCTGTGATTGCACCTTTTCCCTCCATTCTTTATTGGTGGGGAAATGCAAGGCACCTAAACCAGGTCAGGAGCTTGGAGATGTCCACGTGCCTGCTTGGCGCTGGCTTTCTCTATTTTATTAACACCAAAATAGGCATTCTTAGTTTCATATAATAAATAAATAAATATATATATTTTTTCTGCATTAATGGTAGGGCTGCTGGCTTTCTGTATTATATTAACACCAAAATAGGCGTTCTTAGTTTCATATAATATATAAATATATATATATAATTTTTTTTTTCTGCATTAAGGGTAGGGCTGCTGGCTTTCTGTATTATATTAACACGAAAACATGTGTTCTTAATTAATATTATATATATATATATATAATAAATCATTCTTAATTTAATATTTAAATAGATATATATATATTTTGCATCAAAAGTGAGGCTGAGGGTGGCTAAATTAGCCTGACCTCTGCAGTTGGTCTCGTATTCCAGGTGGACGGGTATGAAGTTTGAATATAACAAAATACAATTTGTGGCTGTTTTCCTGTAAGGCTGAACTCCTGACAAGCGGCTCAAATCGTAAGATTTGTTTTAGGGCTGGTGCTGCCCTCTAAAACTGCTTAATCCTTTGAATTCCTTTCAATAGCAGGATGCCCCAGGGCTGGATGCGCACAGCCAGTTCCCCTTGTGTGTGTATTTTTATTTTTTTTTCTCATCCTAAGGGATATTTGCATGAGAATGAGTGACAGCACAGCATTTTGTGTAGGGAGTCCTGTGCCAAAATGCTGAGAGCCCTTCCAAGATGCCTGTTTTTGTCTTAATGCTTCATCAAGCACAGCCTGCTGCATCAGGTTGCCACAGCACGGGGCTGAATATTTTGTCTTTAGGTCAAGTTTTACCCCTGAAATGCTTTCCTTTTTTTTTTTTTTTGGTTATCTTTTAGGATGAGTCAGCAGCACGCGATTTGTTCTGGACCTCTGTCCAGGTCAGGGGGTGGCTTCTGGATTGCTCCAAAAGTTCTTTGTTTAAGCCAAAATCAGAGAAAAAGTGGAAAAAGTGGGCAAGGAGGCTTGACAAAGCTTTGGTTCTTCGTGACACTGCTCTTATCTGAAGGTACCCAAAACTCAGCCCGCACCCCATGGCAGGTTAATCCATCCTCATTCTGAAGCCATGAATTTCCTTCTTTTTCTCTGCTTTTTATCAAGAAAAATGCCCTTCCTTGGGTCCCTAAAACTAAGATCTGAATTGCAAACTGCGTTCTATCAGTAAAAAAAGTGGCATTCCCTGACAAATATTACCCAGGCAGAAGAAATCACATCACTCATGGTGTTCCATGTGACTTAGAAAGCCAGCTTGGTTCTGATTTTTGCAGCACAATAAAAAAAAAAAATGCTATAAATGAGCAGGAGATGACCAAAAGTGGCCTCCAGGTTGGAGAAAAGTGCTAAGAAGACGTTTCTTATGGAGACGAGGATGGGAACGGTG